GTTGATTATGAACATGAGCAAAGGGAACGTAGTGGTTGAAGAACCTTCCTACCAAGGCAACCAACAGACCTCAAGCAATAATGATTCCATGTACCAACAGCAATATCTCTAAAACAACACCAATACCCCATGCCACTTGTGGGAGGACATCTTTATTATGGCAGGCAATCATCGATGCAAGGAACCACCATTGGAGTAAACCCCACTAATCCGTTCCAAATTTGAATGATCCAAAAAAATAACAAAAGTTGAATTGAAGTATATCTGAGGTTGTGGATAATCCAAGAGCACAGACAAAGTTTGACATCTTAGCGGAACGATTACATGTTATGGAAGGCATAAATGCTTTGGGTTCCATTAATGCAATATAATTGAGTCTTGTACCTAGATTAATGATTCCTTTTAAGTTCAAGGTTTCAGATTTTGAGAAGTCTGATAGAACTAAACGTCCAATGACGCATGTCACTATGTATTATTGTAAGATGGCTATTCACACTCACAACAATAAGTTATTGATCCATTATTTTTAAGACAACCTTACAAGATCAGCCATCAAATGGTATAACGAGTTGAATAGCAGCCATGTACATCCATGGAAGGACTTAACACGAGCATTTATAGCTCAATACATGCACATGGCCAACATAGCTCTAGACCATTTAACTCTACAAATGGACATTTAGTTCTAGATTTGAATGATCCGAGAGGACACTTGAGAGAAGAGAATGACAATAAGGGAAACAATGAGAAAAAAAAAAAGAAAACAATGAAAAAATTACTTAATTTAATTAAAATATTATCACTTAATTTTTTTAGATTCTTTTTACTTCAATGTTATGAGTTTTTTCTAATTGTTAATGAAAGAATCATAAATAATTTATTTCTTTCTTTTAATTTTTTTTCATTATTATGGGTCTCTTTTTTATTTTTTTTAAGTTGATAAACGTTTAATAAAAAGCATTTTTATTATTCTTTAATTAAATTAGATTACAACATTTTTTTAATTATTAGAGAATAATTATAATTTTTTATATTTATAAATAATTATGAGCTAATGGTAATAAAAAATCAATGCAATTTAAAAAAAATTAAAGTGTACTTTAGAAATGTATTGGATTTTTTTTTTAATTTTACCTATACAATTTCTCCGGATGAGTTCCATCAAAACACAATCCAGCGGATCCCATACCCGCAAGAACATCACTACTCATGAACCTGCACCACACTGCCACTTGCTAAAACCTAGCCCTAATTATAAATACCATATAAAATCCCCCATTATCACTAACTTCACTTGCCAATCCCTCTCGCCCGCGCCGCGCGACCCGAAAGCCGCAGCCATGCAGATCTTCGTGAAAACCCTAACGGGTAAGACCATAACCTTGGAGGTCGAATCCTCCGACACCATCGACAACGTCAAGGCCAAGATCCAAGACAAGGAAGGCATCCCACCGGACCAACAACGTCTCATATTCGCCGGCAAGCAGCTTGAAGACGGCCGGACCCTAGCCGACTATAACATCCAGAAGGAGTCCACCCTCCACCTGGTCCTCCGCCTCCGCGGTGGCGCCAAGAAGAGAAAGAAGAAGACTTACACCAAGCCCAAGAAGATCAAGCACAAGAAGAAGAAGGTGAAGCTCGCTGTGCTCCAGTTTTACAAGGTGGATGATTCTGGAAAAGTCCAGAGGTTGAGGAAAGAGTGCCCTAATGCTGAGTGTGGAGCTGGCACTTTCATGGCTAATCATTTCGATAGGCATTACTGTGGGAAGTGTGGCTTGACCTATGTTTACCAGAAAGCTGGTGGTGATTAGCTTTTTTTTTCTGGATTTTAATGGTATTATTATGAGTTTATATCTGATGTTTTGGTTTTAGTTTAATGGCACTTATTTGTTGAATTTAGTACTTTTGGAATGGATGGTAATTGTTGGATTTTGAAATTTTGGATGGTAAATTAGATATTTGATATATGTCGATTTTAAGTTAAAGTCGTTTATGTGGTTTCTTCATGTTGTTTCTTTGATTATGCTTCCAATTCTTTGTGTGTTTGGAATGGTGATTGTAGTGATTTCGTTGGTTAATCTTAAAAATTTGGTTCATGTTTGATATAACATAGAAAGTAGTTCAGATGATGATGATGATGATTTATGATTAAATCGAATTTTTGGGATAGTGAATTGGAGCAGATAAAATAAGTAACCTGTTTCTGCATTTTTCTTTGTTGATTGAACAAAAAATATGCCATAGCTGCTTTCAGAAATGAGTTTGTCATTCATACACATTCGCACTTAGGATTTGCTATGAACTGAAGTTCGTTACTTTTGAAGCAAGTGAAATGTAATTGTTGCTTATTTGATAGTCTAGGACCTGCTGTCATTCTCTGTATTTCATTTTAAATGATGACAGGAAGACCTTTCCTTGTCCAAGTATAGGAAGCGTAGTCAAATGGTATTCAGATTGAGTTTTTGGGATCTTACTACGTTCCCATCCGTGTTATTATATGAAGCTTGTTTGGTAGAACATGAAGGTTTGTTTCCTTCCATAGGTTTTCTTTAATCATAGCCTGATCATAATATCTGGTTTCTTTAATCTGACATAGGTCTTCGATTCAATGTTCGGTTCCATGTATCTTTGTGTCATCATGTTTGTGGGACTGCTTGTGGGCAATGTTCTGTAGATCATGTTGCTGTGGGGTTTTAAGGAATGTCTGGGTCTAAATAAGTAAATGTTCTACTATGTTGTGCGAAACCAGTGGAATAGCAGGATGTTTTGTAAGAGTTGGCTGTGTGATAGGTACACAATGTCCCCAAGTCTAGAAAGTCACAAAAATAATTGGTGCTAGTATGCTACCGAACCCTTTTGTGAAGCTGGACTCATGGTGTTAATATGCTACTATCTCCTAAGGAAAGACATTAAAAAAACAGCTTGTGCTATACAACTGAGTTGCTGATGCCGGTTTTAATCTGGATCCAGATTTTTCCTTTTGTTGACAAGTTTTTTTAAGTGTTGGTGTATGTATCCTGGACAACAACCGGATTCAAATCCTCTTTTCCAAATTTCCTAAATAAACTTGAAAAAGAGGGGTTCCTAACACAGTTGTATTAACCTGTTGGTGTTTTTATAATTATTTGCACATGAGAGTTGCTTTGCCTACTTTACAGCCAACCAATTAGCTAGTTATACCCACTACGTTTACCCCGGGCCTCGTGTTTTCGTCGTTGCTTAGCATGCTGAGGAAAATGCCATGGTTGAGTGATGCCTGTCCTCAGGCTATGGTCAGTCCTCATATCAATACGGAATTGCAAGATTGCAGGTAGAACATGTTGTACAACATGTAAGCGTCGTGATGAAGTTTTGGGCTTCGTCATCTCTTCTGATGCTATTTTGGTTGGCATCTCACCCGGCTATGATGGAAAATGTTTGTTAAATCTATCTTGTATTAAAATGCTCTATCATCATCCCTCTCGAGACGAAGAGCACGGGAAAGATGGTACCTGCGTTTGCAGAGCTATTCACTTGTGATGAAAAGAAAACGAGATGGCAGTGAAACGTTTCTTCAACTTATGCTCAGTCGTACGGCCTCAGGACATATGTTTTCAAAGAAACTTTTCTAGCGATTTTAGGTTCAGAGCAAAACGTGGAATGATGTTTGTATTTGTCACCTTGGCAAGGCAAAAATAGCACCATACATGACTAATCAAGCTTCTAATGGTAAGGTAAAAACAAATGGACTAAAACCTACCACTTCCCTCGCCAGGTGGATGAGAAAAAGAAAAAGAACCACCTGCATCCGACGATAAATTCATTGATGCTTGTTGATTCCTACCAAACAGTCACTAGTCATTTCTACCCGTCATAAATTTGTTAAGAATTGGTCCCTCAATGAAGTCAATGTGAGTTTACATATTTCTAAAGTTTTCACATACTAAAAAATTAGAAATTAGTACATTGAGCTGCTTCTTGATGTCCCTGTCTGTCTCCATGATTTAAGATGAAGCCATCAAAATAGGCTGTCCTGACATTACTATTTTTAATCTATGGTCGTGGGGACATCACGTGCGAGCACATGGGCGAGACAGTCAACTACAGAGCGAAGTGAAAGCAAGGAAAGGAGAGGTGAAATGGAAATGGAAAATGGGTAGGTAAATGTTAGCATTAACGATGCTACCAGCGAAATAAAGGGTGCCCAAGTAACATGAAGAAAGGCAGCAGGGAAAGTTGGAAGCGAGGCATTGCCCATTGTCAATCAAACTTACCCTCTTTGAGGAAAGACAAATCCTGAGATGCTTCTTTTCCTTCTCCATACACCCTTCTAGAAACTTCCCCTCCTCCCCATAATGGTAAAACTCTCTGCGCTTTCACTTTCGCGAGGAAGAAATGGGGGCTTAGAGAGACAGAAGAGTAAAGGATACAGAAAACAACACATGAAACCAATAGGCACTGTCTCTTTTACATAACTGGCCTATACAACTTTAAACCTTTGGCAAGCATCAAAACCACAAAAGTTGAAGTTTGCTATTAGTTTTTAGCAATTTAATTAAAACACTGTGAATTACAATGTTGACAAGTTAGCTAGGACTACATTTGTCAGAAAATGAATTGACAAGAAGCTTAATTTTCTTCAATTTTTTCCATTCCTTTTTTCTTTGAAGTAGCAGTAATTTTTAAGAAGGGAGAGACTTACAGGCAGTAGGGTTTGAAAAATATAGTTTCATAATGAAAGTAGTAATAGTATTGCCGTATTGGCAACAAGGATCTGCCATATATGCTTGATGTATCATTAATTGTTCCATGAATGAAAGAAACTCGTTTTCTGGTTATAAACAAAAATGAAAACACAGTGTTTAAGGAATTAAGATATCAATGAAAGAAAGGTAATCATTGTAGTTAGTGTCTCTTACAATCTATAAATCTCAACTTCCTGGATAAGAAACCCACATCATCCTCATTGTAATCACCCAAAACCTGCTGCTCACTCTCCCTCACTTTCCCACACACAAACTCTCAGAAACAGAGAAACCAACAAAAAAATGTCAACACTGAATCATCTCTTTGATCTCCCAGAGCAGATTTGCTATGTGCAGTGTGGTTTCTGCACTACCATTTTACTGGTAACGCATTTTATGCATTTTTCCCCCCTCAATGTATCATAGAATTAATTCGCCTTTGAAAAATGCAGGTAAGTGTCCCATGCAGCAGCTTGGCCATGGTGGTGACAGTGAGATGTGGGCACTGCTCAAGCCTTCTGTCGGTCAATATGATGAAAGCCTCGTTTGTCCCACTCCAGCTCCTAGCTTCCCTTGGTCATGACCATGATGATGAGGTATCAGTAGCTAGTTTCTCTTTGCCAAGTCATTATTCCTTTAGATATGCTTCGCTGGTTTTTTGGCAACTAGGTTCCCCATTCTAGCTCAAGCAGCTATATAAATATATATATATATATATATATATATATATATAAGTTGACTTATTTCTCTTACTGGACTTCACTTAATCAAATTCCAATTCGAGACTTTTTTGTCTTTATACCCTTATAAACTTATCTTGCTAAGTATTGTAGCGGGAATAATGGCAACCTTGTCTGTCGGTGAGGTGCATCTTTGATGATTCATTAATTTATAGTTATGCTCTGGAGGTCATATTACTGGTTTATCACCAAAGAAAATCATTCTTAGATGGTTATGAATTCCATTAACATTCTACGCTCTCTATGCAAGCAGCCAAAAGAAGGAGCAGTTTGCGAAGAAGTGGCTGCCCCAAGGAAGACCGCCGCACACAGGCGAAGCCCATCATTGGTGACCTCTTCTGACAATGAAGAAGAAGACATAGTTCGTGTGAATCCCACAGTCAACAAGCGTGCGTTTTTCTAAATTTGGTTAATAGTTGCAGTAGTACTGGAGTAACACGTAACGGAGTAGTTATCATTCTAATACTGGTTTAGTCAAATTTTACAGCTCCGGAGAAGAGGCAAAGAGCTCCATCAGCTTATAACCGCTTCATCAAGTAATAAGCAATGCATCTCTATGTATACAAACAAGCATTTGTTTGACTTAATGAGGAAATTATCATATATAGACTTATTCCTGGTGGCAGAGAAGAGATCAGGAGACTAAAAGCTCAAAATCCCAACATTCCACACAAAGAAGCCTTCAGCACTGCTGCAAAAAATGTAAGTATTTTATAGAACCTAAAGGGATCAACAAGACAAACCTTCTTTCTTCGGACATGTTTTCGATCTACTATACACACACACACACACACACACACATATATAGATGTTATCTGATTCCTGAACATGTCTTAACATTTCAGTGGGCCCACTTTCCTCCCATGGACACAAAAGGAGACGGAGAGAGCTGTGGCCTGGATGAAGGAGAGGCGTTATGGAACTCTGATGCTACCCAGGTTAGCTTTTCCCGATGCCTATGTGTTCCTTCTAAACATTTCTGATCATTTATTAAACACAAACCACTATACTTCCAAGCACATACAGCATCAAACTACAGTAGTACGTAAAGATTTATCAATTTCAATAGATATTTAGCACTACAAATTTATTTGGAATTGAGCTACCATGAGCAGATCACCATCGGACAATTGTTATTATAAGACTTATATGATGGTTTCATGGTGAATTATATTTGTCTGTGCACTAACTATACTGGATACTTAAATTTCATCATGACCATTGACATCCACCTTTACTTTGATTTTTTTTTTTGGCCAGACAACAACCTTTTCTCAAATTGTCTGATTCAACCATCCATTCTGAAATATCTTAGGGGCTTAAATGTAAGTTCCCATATGGTAGAATGGGAACAAGAGACTAGCATTAATTACACTGCGTTTCGTAATTATTGTGGATGTGTATACGAACTTGTTACTTCTATACATGCATGAATGCACTCTTGCATGTGTCCTCTGCAGCTTTTGCATGCTTATCCTGTTTCCATGCTGCATCCGTAGGTAACTTCATGTTTCTCGTTTCTATGGAAAAACTAAGTAAGCAATGCAGTAGTATAAACGGTTCATTACTCAAAGGCTCCCCAATATTGCTAAGGAGATATTGGCCTCGACTAACAGTAGTGAGGGCACAGAAATAAGCCTGGAGCTGATCAGTACATGAAGAGAAGAGAAGTGAGACTTTTGAGACTGATTGGTGATCCAGAAGTTTCATATTAGGCTATTAGATGAGTTAACATGATTACCTACTTTTTCACTCCCATCAAATTTCTTGAGATTGAAGGCTAGTCACTTTCTTGCAGTTCAACTACTACATATCGAAAATTTATTAGTTAACCTTTTGGGGGCACTTCAACATACTGTTAAGACTTCTTTAGCTCCACTATGTTTCCGGTAACTTATGCCACAGAAAAGGGCGCATGACTTTCTGTTGTGACAAATTTTCAGGTTCACATACAAGGCAATGATTTCCGTGAAAGAAAAGCTGCAAGGAATTCCATATGGGTCAAGACACCCTTTGAGTGAAGATGCCCTTAATATAGATCTCCACTGGTCTACTTCTCCTATCACTCCTAATTTATGGTCAGCCATCGCTAGGTTTCAAACCATTTGCCCTTCTTTTTTTATTTGCCCTGGAATGAGGTCAGGGCACTCACTCACTGACTTAAAACAACAACTTGAGTAATTTTTAGACAGATGCGCAGTTTACTACTACTCTGCATGGGTTTTTAGCTTGCTTTTCTAAAATATTACTAATAACGTCCATCTTGCTTTCTTTTCTTAACTAAGAATGAGCTTGATGATAAAGGGTTCGTGTGAATTAATTTGCTTAATTTTATTAGTGATTAACTTGGACAAATTGCTTAATTACACACTTTAGATGAGCTTCAACTGGATGATTAATTAAGGAAACACACAAGGGCTAATATCTTTAGACCATATACAAAGTTTTATTGAGTTTCCAAAACTCATAAAGGCCCTTTCATTTGGAAAACCTTAATAGGATCCGGATGCATGAGCTCCAATTCTTTTCCCTAATTCCATCATTCACCTCCACTACTGTTTTTCCCTTTCAAATCTCGGTTTCCTTTGGATATACCTTCCTGAAATATGGAAAAAAGGCAAACGTATAATTACCAATGCGCAGCAAATAACAGATATATATGTATATCTGTATATATAAATGGAAACCTGAGTTATATGACTATCAACTTATGTACTGTTCTTGTTGTTTTCTTGCATCTACATGGAATATGGTACGGAATATTTAGGGTATAGGGTACTCTTTAACTCTTACCCATGAAAGGCCTGGGAGAGAGGGCATGAAAATATGCTTGAAAAAAGTCCCTATTCTCTTTTTGTAGCTCCCTCCACACTGCAAAGAGACATTGGCATTTCTACTTTCCTTAGTTAAACGTTAAATTCCCAAACTTGCAGTACTGTTATATATGTTGCGCGGTTGTCACCTACTCACCTGTAACGGTAATGCACGGCCGAATGCTGGCATACTTTGCTAATGCCTTGACGCATTGTTGTCGGTTCATGTGAAGAAGCAAACATCTCTCAATCAGATGCTGAACCTGACTCAGTTGATTTCCCATGCAAAACCAAAAGCAAAATTAACATTAGTGATCGATTCTATAAATTTCTTCAACTTGATTTGGATATATTGCAAACTAAAGGTTGTATTATTATAATAAATGTGTATAGCTAGACTGATGGGAGGATTTTCACTTACCATCCGAATGTAGCTATGTGGGCGGCAATGAAGACAAGGGAGAACATGTTGTTGGTTGTAGTTGTGACAGTACATTTTTTCCCTCGAACAGAAATGGCCAAAACAAAGAGAATACCAAAAAGAAGCAAGTAATAAAGAATAGAAGATCGCCAAAGGGAAAAGGAAAACAAAAAACTTGTACTGCAGACAAAGCTACGAATTGGGAAGGAGATATATATATATATATATATATATATAGTATTTGTAAAATAGAACAACCAAACTTGGAGGGAGAGAGACTGTTATCCACAGATATCCAAGTGAAGGGCCAAAAAATCCCAAGAAATCCAAACGATAGATTCACCTCATCCTCGGGAGATAAGAAAGATTAAAGACATTACTTGTTTTGATATCGAAAATGTGTTTCTGATTATGACAACTACCGTGGCCAAGCGTTTGAAACCATCAGCTCATCACCAAGACCGATCGCAGCATTTTCTATTTTGGGTCCCCATAATGAATGCTGAAAGGCTTCTGATTTAAGTCAAGGGATTGCCACAATGGGTTCTGTCAGATCTTTTGATGAGGGAATTATGACCCTACGATCGAGGGGGTTGCTTTTGTGTTCAAAAGAGGAGCCACGTTATGGGGTTAATTTGGTGACTCCAGGGTCCTTGCCCTTTCCCTCATGTTAGTGCAGAGGAAAGATGAGAGGCTGGCAGCTTGGCACCATAAAGTGTAGGCAGTTCAATCAATTTTTGGACTCTGGGCTCAGGAATTTTGTATGATTAGTCAAGGTCTGAAAATGGAAGCGAGTTTCAATGTGTAACAGAGAAAGGTCTTAGGTCTATGAAACTCTCTCTCTTTCTCTGGTCCACAATTCAGCTCAGCTTGAATGAGATGTAAAATTTTTAAATACCAGCTATTTCAAGAAATGAAAATTTAAGGGTGCAAGAAAAGTTGGACCATCTACTCAATTATTCTCTCATGAATTGCAAGAAAATTACAATACAAAGACTTCTCAAGAAGCTATCTATCTTGCTATTATTTTCACTTAAATATATTTTTTTATATAATTAACAAAATAAAAATTTAAATCTTACTTTTTAAGTAAAAAACAATACTCTTCTTAATTACTCGAGTGCTTAAATATGTTTAATTATAAAACTTTGATGAAATTTGATACACTAATATTGATATAATCCCATTCAAAATTACGTTAACAAGTTTAAAATCTGTAACAAAATTGTATTTGGAAGAGGTCACAATTGAGCAGAAACATGTAAATGATTCACATGTATTCCCACAAAGAAAGAAAATAGATATTGCCAACAATTAAATGACCAAAGCAAAGGACAGGGCCACTTTAATTGTTTTTTGCCTTTGAAAAAACACGAAAAGGGAGATGTAGTGGCCTATTTAGACCTGCCCTCATCAAAATATATCAGATTGGAGATGCTGGCATGTTCCATCTTGGGACTCCTGGCCCTGTCATTTATTCCCACTCCCCTCAGCCTGACAGCCTTTGAGCCCTGACGACTTTTCGGATCTGTTTTTACTTTTCTGCGCTCTTGTGCCTTATATCACCTGCAAATAAAACTCTACCCTTTTACTCACTTCCCTAACCAGCCATGAACTAACGCAACAATTACGGAGTTTTCTTTTTTAATAAAATAAAGGGAAATATATAAAAGCCTCCTGAGAATTGAGATTGGTATATTATATACTTATTCTTTAGTTTGAAAAATACTCTTTTTACTCTCTTAAAGTTTGGTAAAATATACATTCATTTCTCTGAAAAGATAATAATGTTCTTTTATCCAAGACTTTTTTAAAGATAAATAAGTGTCTTGCAATCAAATTTTAGGAGAATAAAAGGGAATGTATCATCCAGCAATCCTAGTACCATTTTCTCTTTGTAAGGAAGAACATCTAGGTTTTTTTTTCTTATATACATATATATATATATATATATATACAAATTTACATGTACAAATGCAATTAATAATTATAATTAAAACAATTTTTAAGATAAGCCAAAAGCAACATATGATGAGACAAAATTCATTACCCATTTTAAGAGGTCTCCTTTTGGTTATGGGTACAAACAAGTGCCGTACGTCGAGTGGCAGAAATGTGTTGATCATTAGCCCAATGCTTGACCATATATAGCGAACGTCCCTAAATTATTGAACGCGGTGTACGAGGTGGTCAAACTGACAAGAGGAAGCGTTATTAAATGGTTTGGTTGCTGTGCTTGCAAGTTCCAACTCACATCTCAATGACTCATTATTGATTTAAATGTCTTCGAAATTTGGATGACATTCGGCTCCGAGTCCTTGCTTATTCGGCTCCCCAGTTTGATTGGGGAGTTAGACCGCTGCAGTTTACCATACTACTTGGTTATTATCAAAAGAAAAGCTTAAAACAAAAGCGTATAGAGCACATGAAAAGATAAACACTCAACATTAAGTAGTCGCAAAGAAACAAGTGATCATGCCAAGCCACCACCCTTTTGTCTCTCAAATATACCTGCCGTTACTTAAAATTACATTAAACTATCATATCTTGTCATCCTGGACTTCAATTCTTAGGCACATATCTGTACGAGTGTAACTCACAAAATCAAAGTTGTGCCCCAAGCCTACAAGGATCCAAAGTCAGGTGACATTCAAACATAAAGCGATCCCATCTACCATCAAAACTGGATGACATGCAATTTCATCCAGCCCCTCCTAAAATTCAGTGCTCAAGTTATGCAATGTCTACTTGATCCACTAATTTCAGTTGGATCTTGATGAGGAAATTAGTACTTGTTATGCCTCAAATTCTAATTACATCCATCAATCATATCCTTCGACTAAACAAAACCGCAATTTCATTTAGTATTTAAAATTACCACATACATTCAAATATAAAAATGATCCATTATAGAAATAAAAGATAAAAGTAGACTACTATTTCAGTCTTTCATTCTTTGGCTTCTGACCATCGTCCGCATTACACAAAACTGAGAATCACAGAGGCACTCACAACTGCAACAGAGCATGCAGGACTAACTTCCGCATGCTTCCTTAACTGGTCTCTGACTTTTCCAAAGCTGCAAAAATGATTTAAAAGTAAGCGGAACGAAACACCAAACAAATCTAGCACTAAAATGCACATAAACATGAGGAAGAGAGAGAGAGAGAGAGAGAGAGAGAGAGTCAAAACAGATTGTGGGTAGGGAAAGGAGACAGAAAGAGATTACTATTGTAATTCAGAAGCTTCTCAATGAGGTCAACATGAGTCATAAGCATTCGCCTACAACAATAACGAACCAAGCCCAATGCATCAAGAGCATCTCTGCATGCCAAACAAATCACAACTTATTCTCTACATACTAATGCTTGTAATACCAATTTGAGTGTTGAAGCTAGGCTGATTACCATGATTCATAGATGAGCAATAATGCATAAATTTGACTGTTCCATCAATTCAACACAATATTTTCATATACATGCTTGGGTGGTTGGATTAGATACATTTCGTCATTCCATATGAGTGCAGGAACTTACATATTCTCATCAATCTAGTCACATTAGACAACACTGACAATTTCGCATTTGGGGGGAACAGAAACAGCAAGCAAAACATGTTTCCTAAGCAGGAAACCTCCAACAACAGTCCCTTCACTTTGGGAGGATAACACTTATAATAACTCTTGCAGTTTCAATGCTTACATTTAGACCTTAAAATTTCAATAATGAGCTCTTACCATGCACTGATGTCCAATTTAGCAAATGACATTAGTTCAAATAAGTTAATAAGCATAAATAACCTGACCACGTGATTGTGGAATGAGTAACATCAGATTTCAAAAGTTTGAAAATAATTGGCAACAAAAATCAACAAAAAACAGCAACTAGGATCTGATTTGCATTTAGCTAAAGCATTCAAGTTCAGTCCCAACAAAAAGGACACAAGAAAAAAAAAAAAAACCAAAGAGTGAAAGTCTAGAATTTAGATGACAGTTATGCAACCAAATTGATGCAGGCGCATTTAGAATTCTATTTTATTTATAAAAGGCTTTTTGATCCCATCAACTCAAATTTCACATGCTTTCAAGTCGAAATTAAAAAAAATCATCCCAAGCTCCAATCATATGCATTCACTTATAGTTGTAGCAACAATGCAACTGGCACAACGGATAATTTATAGCCACAATGCAATCACTTAAAACCTATTAAAAAAACAACAAGAATAAAGCCGAAAAACAATCAATAAGAAGATGATTAACGATTAAATAAGCGAGAGAGAGACGTTGTTACTAACCCTTCTGTGTAGTCGGCCTGGAGAAGATCAAGGTAAGTGTCCCATTTATTACCAATAACCTACAAATATCCAAACCAAATTTGCAAGTCAAAGCAACAGAGTCACCAAAACCCTAAAATTATTACCTGCCTACATTAAATCGAACAAAATCAAAATCTAAGGACAAAACAGAGTATGTATTATTCTTTTACGGTGTTTTTAGAGATAATTACAAAGGAAAAAGAAGGGCAAGTGAGAAAAAGACCTTCCCACATGTGAAGCAGCGAACTGGAATAATCATCCTCTTTTGTTCTTGTTCTTGGCTTTGCCCTAGTTCCCACTCTCCCAGCTTTTTCTACTGCCCTAGACTGTTCTCACCGGCATTTTAAATTTGTTGAAGGCGGAGTCGTTTCACCCATTAACGTTGGCTCATACACGACGTCGTTTTAACCGACTGAAACCTTTCTTCCCCCTTTTCTCTTTTTTTTTTCAATAGAAATAGATAGGCCTGCTGAAACCTTTTCCCGAACTCCCAACTTGACTAAAATTTTAAGTTAAAAGGAGCACTATAAGATATATAAATCAGAACTATAATAAAAAATAAAAATTATTTAAATTTTTTTTAGAGAATCATGTGCATATTACTAAGTATTTAGAATAGACGGCTTCGTGTTGTTCACAGCGAAACCACATCACCACCGTGCTTTGCGCTTCTCGAAGCCTAGTGCCACGATTCTTCACTCTCTGTAGTGTCACTATCTATAGATTTGGACCTTGGTGAGTTTCATAAAGGAATAAATCTGTTGAAGGCATTTTGGAATGAACAACCTTTTTATTTTTCTTGTATCTCATTGGTTTTAAAGCATGTGATTGCTTTCAGTAATAACTTTATATAGTCTCCATTACATACGAAACTGGGTAGAATTCTTTACATTTTGTTTAATTAGTTGTTACTTGTTTTGGCTCTCTCCAATTCGTCATAGAGCCCCTTTTTGTGAACATTGAATAATATTAGTACTACATACAATGGGTGCATGCACCGTGACTCACACTAGCTTCTCAAAGCCTATATTTCTGGCTAGTGGGGAAAAACAGACCCCCAAAAGTATGAACAATCGGCCTCTGTGCCCCAGCAAATTAAAATTCTTGCCAACTGAAACAGTACAACTTGTACCAAATACAGAGGTGATGACCCTTACAAAAGTTAAAGAAAATTCAA